TTCCTAGCCCTCCCTTCACCCCCTCCACCCTTCCCTATTTACAAAGACTTTATTTCCATTTTTCCCATTTCTCATCATTTTTCCTTTCCCTTCTTTCCTTCCTCCTGCGCCTCCCACTACCCCTACCCCTTTGGACCTTTTCTTCCTATTTTGGATTATCGATTATTCATTCTAATCATTGGTACATTTTAGGTATACAATACTACTCTCCCAAACCACTGGAGGCGAACCTATGGCACGTGTGCTGTAGCTGGCTGTTGTTTGTTATCGTTGAAAGCTCTAAAAGGTTCACTATCAATATCCTAAGCTCTTTGTAGAGTCAAAATATTTCTATATACTGATTTTCTTTCCTGACAATTACTAACATTTAAATTTTGCATAAAATGCCACATACAGATGGATAGAGGTAGGCAAACTAAGAGGGGAAAAGCTGACTTAAACAGTAATGAAACTCCCTTCATTTTTATTAGTTTTAAACTAGGGATTGAACCTAGGGCCTCCACACAGAGCTACATCTCCACTCCTTTTTAAATTTTTATTTATTTAATTTTTTTTTGGTACCGGGGATTGAACTTGGGTCCTTGTGCTTGTGAGGCAGGCGGTGGAACCACTGAGGTAGATCTCCGGCCTCCTTTTTTAATTTTGATTTAAGGCCTAAGTCACTAAACTGCCCAGACTGGGCTTGAACTTGTGATCCTCCCACCTCAGCCTCCCAGAGTTTTGGGATTATAGGTGTGCATCACCATGCCTGGCTTGGCTAATTATAATAGTCAATATTGAACATTATCCTGTGAAAACTATTCTCAACAAATATGTACGAACCTATGGAAATGTAAATACGAGTGGAAGAAACATAAGCTCTAAAAAATAGGGATATTGGTATATATTTTAGTGTGATCCATTTCCAAGAAAGTAAGGGATGAATTTCCAGGAGAGTTCCAGCCTGAGATCTTTGCCAGCATATAGCAGTTTCATTCTCTGAAGCTTTTAGAAGCTGTGGTCCTAATTCTACATAAAAGTAAACCAAACAACCAACCAAATAAAACACATACTGTACCTACTGTTTGCCACATGACCTATGGTTATACTTACTACTTCTCAGAAACTAGTAGTGACAAATGAAATTAAAATGGAGTTCACAGTGGGATGAAAGTAAATTTAGATTTATAAAAATGGAAAAGTTTAACATGTGAAGGCTTCCCTCTGAATCTCACAAGGTGGTCTGGACAATACGGAATGAGTCAGGTCATTGGTAGTCAGATGGTCTCGACAGAAAAAGCACTTGAGCTATGGTACTTGCCACACTGTTGGTGCAGAGAAGGTTTCTTTTCTCAATATCTACTGTTTTAATAATTACTCCTTTTTTTTGGTACCGGGGATTGAACTCAGGACCTTGGGCTTGCAAGGCAGGCGGCAGCACCACTTTAGTAATTATTCCTATTACAGGGTCTAGTTTTCATCCACCTGATACTCTCTGGCCCTCAGCAGTTGCCTGCCTACAGCCCTTGCCTGTCATCACAGGCCTCTGGTGGCTGGTTACCTGACATTGTGGGGCTGCTTGTCACAGGACAATACAGTGTTAGCAATGGATTGCTGCAGGTGGTGCCGTTGTCTCCTCAGGGTGTGCTGGAAGTCATCTTCCAGGGTCTGTACTACATAACGCAGGAAAAGGACTCGCCCAGGCAGAGTTTGACCCTTTAGGAGAAAGAATGAGAAGTCAGCTTTTCTTCTTAGTCTTCTAGATTACAGAAAGCATTGGCTGTCATAACCACAAAGTCTTCTGGGAACAGTGGTGCACTCCTGTAATACCAGATGCTTTGGTGGCCGAGGCAGAAGGACTACAAGTTCAAGGCTAGCTTGGGAAATTTAGTGAACCCTGTATCAAAATAAAACCTGAAAAAGGGCTGGAGATGTAGCTCAGTGGTGGAGTACTTGCTTAGGATGCATGAGGGTGGAATCAGTTCTTAGTACTGCAAACACCAATCCAAACCAGACCAAACCACAAAGTCCAAGAGAAGGTCATGAGTCAACAAGTTTGTCCCCAAAAGAGAGAGCAGGTAGTTGGGGTCATTGGAAAACTGGAAAAATAGGGTGAATGCTAAAGGAATCATATTCTGTAAGGTCCCAGAAACCACTTTTTCTCCTAGGAATTAAAAACAATTTGTTTATTCAAAAGATCTAGATATCTACAGATAATTAGAATTTCATAACAGCTAAAGAACAACTGGAGGTCTGCTAGAGTTTCTAGGATTGTAGAGTTTTTGATTTTAACAATTGTGGGAAGTTAGTTTCTCTAATTTACTGGCCTTTATCATCCTCAAGATAAACATAAAACTGGGGCACATGCCTATAATCCTGGCACTCATAAGGCTGAGGCAGGAGGACTGCCACAATTTCGAGGCCAGCCTAGGCAACACAGTGAGTTCAAAGCCAGCCTGGACTGACAGAGACAAAAAAACCCAAAACCAAAACAAAAAACAAAAGCAAACAAACAACCCTTCCCCCAAACTACCATGAAACGGGCTATCAGATCAGAGAGAAACTGGTTCTTTAATGACTGCTGAGCTGCTAGATCAATAACCATAATTTCTACTCTGCTGCTAAACTTCTAGTGTTGTGTGCTGATATATGTCAGGTTAAGGTTACATATTGTTAAGCAAGGCTGATCTAGGTATTCTGTTACAGGTGAAATAAGGCTAACTCACACAGGCAAAGAGCATGGGTTTTCGTGGCACACAGATCTTATATTTTTGTTGTTTGTCTGCTTTACACCGAGTTCCACTGCTTATTTAAGCTACTCCCTCTCAGCCTCAGTGGCCTTGAAATTCACATGGGATAATTCTAACCTTATCAAAGATGAAGTTAATATTTCTTCATTTATCAACATTAGACATGATTTATTGGATCTCTGCTACATAAGGATTTAACTCACTTATGCCAAACTCTCACACTTCTTTTCTTCAGAAGTAACTATTCTGCATCATCTAAGGCACTATCTCTCTCTTTTGTTTTGGTACCAGGTATTGAGCTCGGGTCCTTGAGCTTGTGCAGCAGGAGGTGAAACCACTGAGCTAAATCCCCGATCCTAAGGCACTATGTCTTGATTGCCCACTGTCTTAGTTTTTCAATGCTGGGCCAAAACACATAACACCCACAAGATAAAGGAGGAAAGGTTTATTTTAGTTCAATTTGGGGAGGTTTCAATCCATAGTTGGCTGGCTCCAAGGCAGGGTGGCATGGCAGAGGAGAAGCAGTTCATTTCATGGCAGGCAGGAAGCAGTGAGCAGTGAGCCTCCCTTTTCTTATTTCATTCAGGCTACAAGCCTATTGGTTGGTACCCTTCTTGCCCAGGATGGGTCTTCTATCTTCAGTACATTTAGCCACACCCAGAAACATGCTAACCAGACTAATAGTTATTACACACTCATAATCCATATTCACACATCCTAAACGCAGTCACCTATAAAAAGCCCCATCTATGAGCACATGAGGCTTTGGGAGGACATCTAGATACAAGTCATAACACCTACTTTGGAAGATAAAGGTGTTACAGTAGCACTACTACTTTTTTTTTTTCATTAAATTCTTTTATTGGTACATATTAGGTACACAACACAATTACATTTCTCATTGGGAACTGTACTTTACATAATGCATCTTGGTTCTTATTTTTTCCCCATTCCTAGTCCTCCCTTCACCCCCTTCACCCTTCCCTACTTACAAAGACTTTATTTCCATTTTTTCCATTTCTCAGCATTTTTCCTTTCCCTTCTTTCCTTTCCCCTGCCCCTCCCACTATCCCTACCCCTTTGGACCTTTTCTTCCTATTTTGCATTATTCATTCTAATCATTGGTACATTTTAGGTATACAATATAATGACATTCATCATTGGAAATTTGCACCTTTACATAATCTCTCTTGGTTCTTATTTTTCACTGTTGCCCAGCCCTCCCTTCAACCCCTCCAGTCCTCCCTATTTACAAAGATTTTGTTCCTATTTTTCCATTTTCTCATATTAATCCCATTCCCTTCTATCCTTTCCCCTAGCCCTCCCATTTCCTTCCCCTTTGCCCCTTTTCTTCCTATTTCACATTACCTATTATACATTTAGTCCTTATTTACACTTTCAGTTTCTCACACCAGAGAAACTATTCGGTATTTATACATGTGTGTCCTATTTATTTCACTTAAGAGTATCACCTCAATGTGCATCCACTTAGCTATGTCTCTAATTTCTCATTTTTTATGGCTGAGTAGTACTCCATTTTATAAAAAAACCACATTTTCTTTATCCAGTCTCCAGTTGATGGGCATTTGGGCTGTTTCCAAGTTTTAGCTATCACAAACTATAGCACTACTTTTAGAGACCTTATTTCATCTTCCAACCTTTGATTTCTACACTTTTCATCTTATATTATCAAGGGTAAAAAAATTATTGCCTGTTTGTACAGAAATTGATTCTGAATTATACACCCAGTTTTTATGTATCAGAACTATGGTAATATTCATTATACTGAAAATTCATATACTATACTAATAAAATCATTCCTTTTTTATGAACTTTTTTTTCCCTTACAGTTCTGTTTTTTCTCCCCTCATTGCCTGCAGTTGTACTTGTCAAATTTCTTGGCATATAGCTGTCATACTAATCTTTAATGATCTTCCTTTCACATTTTCGAGACAAGGTCTCACTATGTATTCTAGGCTGGCCTTGAACTCATGGTGATCCTCCAGCCTCAGCCTCCTGGATGCTAGGATTACAGATGTACACCAGTTTTTGCCTGGTTTTCATCTTTTTCTTTCAGTTCTAGGAATTGAATTGAATCTAGGGCTTTGTACATGCTAGACAAGAACTCTACCATTGAGCTATATATCTCCAGACCTTTTTATTTTATTTTTGATACAGGGTCTCATTAAATTACTCAGGCTGGCCTCAAACTTGCAATCCTCCCTCAGGCTCCAGTGTCTGATATTACTGGTGTGCATATCACCCTTGCCCTAATTGTTTGCATTTCTGTATTAGTTGTAATGTCTCTCTTTTTATCTCTAACTTTATTTGCATCTTTTTTTTCTTAGTCTAACTAAAGGTTTGTATCTACTGTTTTATCTTTTCAGAGGATGAGGTCTTGCCTTGTGACCTTTTGTTGAGATTTAGGGATTTTGAAAAAATATCTTTTCTAAGCTTTATGGACTAGGTTCATGCAGAAGAAGGCCTTCACCAATAAGCCTGTATAGAAGTTCTGTACTTCATTTCTAGTGATGTCTTTGTTTTGGACTTGTGTATCTACTGTACCGCCCCTACCCTTTTTCTTTGCATGTGGTTTCATTATGTTGCCCTGGTTAGCCTTGAACTCTAATCCTTCAGCTTCAGCATTCCAAGTAGCTGGGATTAAAGGTGCATGCCATTGCATCCAGTTGTACTATTCTTTGCTTTAATTTCCCAAGTGGTTTGGTCCTTTTCCTTTTTAGGAGCTCATAACTTCTTGTTTCTCCTGTTATCTGCCTGCAGAACTTCGGACTCTCCACATGATGCAGTGCTTACTTCTGTTTTCAGCAGCTTCCAAACTATGCTACTGTTCTTGTGAGCATTCTGTTTGGCAGGACAGAAACCCATCACTCGGGCAGACTTGGGAGTACACTGGCTGTAAGGTACACTCTCATTTCTGTCCTAGGTTGTGTTGGTTTAGGCACTGCAGTTGAAAAGGAAAAATGTGGTATGGGTTAAATCTGAAATTGGAGTTAATAACTCCACAGTTCTATAGTCTGTAATGAATGATTATTGTAAGCACATAATTTTTCTTGCTAGCACTGCCAAGAACATAACTCCCTATCTAACCTGTTAATGCTGCCAAGGACATACGTTGATATCTACCTTCAAGACTCCCCATCTGCCCAGGGCTTGAACCCATTCTGGAATGTAACATACTCTATATGATGCATTTCTGATACATCCCTAGTCTCAGGCCATCAGGTGCCTCGAAGAGGCTTGGTGCTGGTGGTGAGGACCAACACAAGGGTCTCTAACTCTCCCTCTCTGTCTGCCAGTGCCACTGTGACCTGCTGCTGCTGGGATAGAAAAATAATATGGCTGACAGGTGGGACACCAGTCTAGGATAATGTTGGCCGTGAGCAGTTTTACTTTTCAGTCCAAACAAATTCCCCCTTGGCTGACCCTGTCCTGAACTGATGCCCACTCTAAGTACACGTCTTCCTTCTCTGCTCCTCCTTGACGGACCCTAAAGTGCTGCATACTCCAAATATGTGTTTCCCTTATCTAGCCAACCTTACCCTAAATTAATGTTTTCTAACCTGAGTTTGAACTTGTTATAGACCAATCAGTAATAATGATATCATATGTAACCAACCAACTGCTTGCTCTGCTTCTGTATTAGTTTCTGCTTACAAATCCTATATAAACTGTAGGCAGACAAAAGACAGCCACCTGGTTCTTTGAGGAATTATCCCAACCAGGCCCACTGATGTAAATAAAGTTTGTCTTCTGCCTCCAAGTCCTAGGTGCCTTTAGTATTTCCCATTTGCCATTACGCACTTACTCTGTCTCCAGAGTTCTCACAGAGGTATTCCGGTCCATATATGTATTTTTTTCATCCAAATTAAAAACTTTTACTTTACAAATTACTCTGTTAGATTAAAAGACAGCTATAGGCCTGGGAGAAAATATTTGCAAACCCTATACCTGATAAAGAATTAATATGCATGATTAATGAAGAACTCTCAAAAGTCAACAGTACAAAAACAACTCAATCAGGAAGTGGACAAAAGACTGTAAAGGCATTTCATCAAGGAAGAGGTGCTTCCTTTTGGTCTGGCCAGGGCAGAAACTAAACTCCCCTTGGTACTGGCTCAACTTTGATATTCAATGTGGAAGATACATAATCTTTTCCTGTGTTATTTGGTAGCAGTAGAGCGGTTGTTTTCTAAATATTTTCAGATTGAGTAGGTTATTTCCTTCCAGATTCTTTGATTAGAGAGGCCAGGCTGTGGTTGCTGTTCTTTTCCTTCTGCACCTGTTGTCAATTCCAGGTTGTCAGCTTCTCCACACCCAGTCTAGACCACACATAAGAATGCATCACTGTTTTGCTTCAGATTTTTCTTTTCTTCTGAGTCTTCCTTCTGCAAGGGAGACAGGCTTCCTTTCTCTGTCTTCATAATATATATTCTAATGTTTTTAGTTCTACTTAGAGGAAGAGAGGAAGATAAGTCTACGCCTTCTTCTTGAAAGCCAGAATGGTTTTATTTCATTTTTATTTTTCATTTTTTGTGGTGATGAGGATCAAACTCAGGACCTTGCATATGCTAGATAAGCACTCTACCACTAGCTACAACTCTAGCTCCTCCGGCTACATTTTAAAAGTTAAAAGTCCATCTTCTCCCCACCAATAATTCCATATGACATGAATTAATGTATAACTGAAAATGATATGAAATGTAGTCCATATATTCTTTTTTGTTTTGGTACCAGGGATCGAACTTGGGTCCTTGGCACCTGTGAGGCAGGCAGTGGAATCACTGAGCTAAATCCCCAGCCTTGGTCTATATATTCTTAACTGTTTCTCCACTGGAGAAGGGACTGGAGCTTCCTAGTCTGTCCTTATGCTGATGCCTCTGAACATTCCTACTTAAAGTCCTTTGTAATTTCACTCCAATTGAGACTACCTGCTCCCTAAGTCTGCTATTCATTGTATTTTGGGGACTTCTATTCAGTATTATTTTACTTGACCTAGTGTTCCCTCATTCATACTTCTTTGTTTTGGGTACTCCCTCATTCCTTAGAGGCATACCCCAAGGTGACTTCCTACGGGGTATGTTTTCAAGTTCATGCATATCTGGAAATGTCTTTTTTCACCTTCATACTTAATTCATAGTTTGGGTGAGTATAGAATTCTAAGTTGAAAATCATTTGTTCAATCAATTACTTTAGGGTGAACAGACAGAAAGCTGGCAATTAAAACTCTGGGGTCTCTAAAGATCAGAATGTAGAATATTTTTTCTGGAATAACAACTATACATGAGCTATCTTTGTTTATTATAGATGTCTTATTTAATTTCTTTATACAATAAATCTTTTTTCCCAGTACCAAGAATTGAACTCAGGGCCTTGCACTTGTCAGGCAGGTGCTGTGCTACTGAGCTACATCCCCAGTCCCACCTAAAAATTTCTAATAGACATCCAATCACAGCTCATGTCTGTTATCTTTTACCATATATACTGTATTTCCAAGTTCAAAATCTGGCTTTAAAGGTGTTCTAAAGGGAATACCTCCTTGACTGCAGCTTCTTCCACATGTATTTCTGCCTGTGGTTTCTGCCCAGCTTCATTAATCCACCACTCTTATAATTTTTTTGATCTTCTAAATCTTTAATGACATCTATTGTCCTTCCCTTTATTTTTTAGCCATGGATTTATTAATTTCTCCATTTATTTACTAGTATTTTTAATGGGCTCTCAAGAAGGTGAGAGAAAATGTATATATTCATATTTCAATCAGAAGGCTGCATACATCATTTTAATAGTAATGTTTTTTGGCAAGGTGTCAAGAGGAAATAATAGAATGGACTTAAATAACAGATTTCTGATCAATTTTCTTTGTAGTTAAAACTTCTTCTGCAAAAGATACACCTTCATAATTATTATGTTACCTCTTCCTCCATGACATAGGTGAGCAGCTTCCAGTCCCACTCCACTGTCTTGGCATTGGCCGGATGTAGCCTGAAAGTCAAGTGACATCAATTAGAATTCTAGAGAATTTCGTAGAAAAAGGGATGGGATCTGGAAGATGACAGAAGAAAAAAGCCTCTTCTTCTCCTCAAGGCTCTGGCGCACCCCTTGGGATCCAACATATGTAAACCTGAACACAGTGGAGCTCCCCCATGGGAAGCATTGTCCTGAAGAAACCAACTTCCCAGTGCTCTTAGCCAACTAGCTTTACCTACCAGGATGAAACATGAGATTCTGAGTTAATCCATAATATTCTATCCCTCAGTTCATAGTGATTTGTTCAAAGATGGGTCATGTCTCACGTCAGGCCAATCAAATCCTACAAGACTCAAATGTGAGAATGCTTGTATGGCTATAAATGAATTCTCCCACTGAAAGTGTTCTCAAAGCCTGAGCCCAAGAGCTACCAGGTGAAATAAAACCAAAGCAGAGGAGGAAAATGGATCCTGGTAACCATTATGAAGACAATCAGGTCACATCTTATTTCTAAGTTTCTAGTAACACAAGCCATTAAATTCTTTCACCAGGTGTTAAAGCCAGTTTTGATTGAGTTTCCTATCACCTGCAATCCTAATCTTACATTAAGAAACCCTTCCTAATGGTTAGTTGAATAAAGCATAGGCAAGAGAAAGATAGGCCCTGAGTCCAGGTTTCCCAGGAGATTGTGCCAAGAACTAGGTGTTATGGTTCATACTGTTGAATTTTCATGAGAAGCATGTAGGCATCCTTGAGGACATCCACCGTCTCAGAGTCACTGAGCAGGATTTTCTGGATGATGTGAGCCACAATTTCTCTGGGTGGGTAATGCTGGGGTGACACAAAGTCCATCAAAAACTGCACAGTCCCTAGAGGAAAGTTTTCTTCAATGGTGTTTGTCACCATTCTTAGTCTTCGATGAGGTATGGGTTCTAATTTTTGAGTCTTGCTCTGTAGAGATAAGAAAAAAATTAGGTGATTTCTATAGTATATAAATTGAGGACAGAAAAATTTTCCATTTATATAATTAGAAAAAGGAGAGACAAGACAGCCTTATCTAAAAACAATTAATGACATGAGGAAAAAGCTTTCATAAAATTAAAGGATAAGAAAAAAAATTTAAAGGATAAGAATTCTAAATTCTACATATAACCTGACTTGATCTATGTTAAAATACAGCATGGAAAGAAAATACAAAGAGCATAGAGGGGCTCACTGGTGAGAGAATATTATTTTACAAGGCATGCAATGAGAAGAGTGTTAGAAGGCAAGAACAAAAATCTTGCTTGGATGACTGTTTTTACACGTGTGGTGCATTTTCCAATTTTGGAACTGTATTAACTTTTTGGTCTAAATAGATAAATCTACAAACAAAAGTGTTTACAAACTGTTTGGGTTCTTGCATCCCTAAAGGAAACACTTTTTTTTGAGTAGTGGGGTTGAACCCAAGGCCTCATGCATGCTAGGCAAGTGCTCTATAATCAAACTACATGCCCAGCCCTGAAATAAATATTTATAGAGAGAGGCAGCTATACGTTTTATGCATTTACCTTTAAGTCAAACAACTGCATTGTTATGGTTGGGATCCAAAATGTCCTCTACAACGTCTCACTATGTTAAAGGCTTGGCTGTTGGTGGGCTTTTGAGAACTGACTGGATTATATACAACACAATTACATTTCTCACTGGGAATTGTACCTTTACATAAAGCATCTTGGTTCTTAATGTTTCCCCATTCCTAGCCCTCCCTTCACCCCCTCCACCCTTTCCTATTTACAAAGACTTTATTTCCATTTTTTCCATTTCTCATCATTTTTCCTTTCCCTTCTTTCCTTTCCCCAGCCCCTCCCACTACCCCTACTCCTTTGGACCTTTTCTTCCTATTTTGTATTATTGATTATTCATTCTAATCATTGGTACATTTTTTCCCCCATTAAGTTTATTGGTACATTTTCAGTATACAATACAGTTATATTCATCATTGGGATCTTGTACCATTTATGAGTCTCTTGGTTCTTATTTTTTTTCCCCTTCCCTTGTCCTCTCTTAACCCCCTCCACCCTTCCCTATTTGCAAAGACTTTGTTTCCATTTTTTTTCCTCTTATTTTTTCCTTTCTCTTTTTTCCCTTCCCCTACCCCTTCCAATGCCCCTGCTCTTTTAGACCTTTTCTTCCTGTTACACAATATCAGTTATACATTTTTTAAATTACAATATCAAGATCTAGGAGACATTACCACAGATTTTACAGAATTTAAAAGGATATAGAAAGCATATTTCAAA